TTAAAACCATGATGGTAAGTAGCTGACATGTCAACTTGGCTGGCTGAGGGTGGCTGTTTAGAGAATAATGTTGAATGCAATTCTCATCAACCAATGATGTCTGGTGTGAAAGGAGGCACAGGGTGCCTGCACATCGGGTGTCAGGTTTGCTTAGCCTCAGCTCAGAGCATCGGCTAGTGCAGCAGTTTTCTTTTATGGGTCCCAATACACACAATATGGGGGGAATAGTTTAGAAAAGGACAATTCTAGATACTGAGATCCAATCTTAGATACTGCTGTTATGGATTAGATCTAAAATATCCCCTAGGCTTCTTATATTCATGACAGGGGATTGGGTCATCCAGGCACTATGCTCATCAGTGGATTCATCTATGGATGAGGCCAGAAGCTGAATATGCTGGTAGGCAGTGGAGCCTGGTTGGAGGTGAGGCACCGGGGCGGGACCCAGAAGGGTATGTCTCCCTTTATCTCCTCCTCTCATTCTCTGATTCCTGGCTGCCATGGATTGAGTACAGTTTTCTCCATTGTCCCCCTTTCCTATTCTGCTTCTGCCTTAGAACACACCCACCACGGACTGAACCTGTGAAACCAAATAAGCCTCTTTCACTTTAAATTGTAGGGGTTGGGTGTTTTGTCCCAGGGATGGGAAAGTTAACAAAGACAGATTTTAATACCAGAGAAATGGGCTCATTGCTTTGGCTGTATCTGACTACATGGTTCAGAAGTCTGTGGACAAGAGGAACTTTGTAAGACTTGGGGATGCTGGCTGGAGAAGCCCTACAATGTTGTACCTGGATGTTGGAGGTCACAAGAGTCTATCTTCCAGGTCTTCTGCTATGAGGATTATAATTTTGTGATGGCCACTTGCTGCGCTCTGAAATCTGTCACCGTGTCTGTGTGTGTTCCCTCATCCTCTCCCTTCTTCCCAACTTCCTTTCCTCTCCTTCACAAGAGTGAGATCTGTACCACGGTCTCAGGCTCCCTGAGTCCCCTTCAGTTTCTCCGCCATATTGTTTCTCACTTGTGTCTCCCCTAGCGAATCTCTAGCACTTGCAATCCTGACTAGCATCTGTTTGGAGGACCAGATGGACACAGAAGATTTTGGTCATGTACTTTTGAAGGGGATGTTTTTATCCCAGGAAGCTGAGATGGTAGAGTTCTAATGCAAAGGTAATACATGTATTCCTTATGTTTATAGCAGCAAAATTGATAATAACTAAATCCTTGAAGCAGCTTATATGTTCACCAATGAAAAGATAAAGAAAAAGTGGTACTTACACACAATGGAGTACTATTCTGCCTTAAAGAAGGATAAACTTGAGTCATTTGTAAAACAATAGATGGACTTTGAGACTATAATGTTAAGTGAAAAAAAATCAGACACACAAGCTTAAATATCACATAGTTTCTCATATATGAGAAACCCAAAAAAAGAGTGGAACAAAAACTAGATAATAGGAAGTAGGCGGACAGGTGTTTCTCAAATGGGAAGGGGATTAAGGGATGATGGAGGGAAGGGAGAGGGAGGGGAGACAAAGAGGATAAAAACAATTGAGAGGTGTCACGTACATGTACCAACTCTGCACAAGGAATGTAAACATTGTGTAATGCAAATGTACTAACAAGAAAACAAAAACCAACCAACCAGCCATCAAACAAAGAAAAGAAAACCCAGAGCTGAAACTCAGAGAGGTGACTGATAGCTGTCTTTTTGCATCTGAAGATTCTTCTTACTCCTTCAGCCCCAAAGGTGGTCATGAGTTGCATAAGGACAGACTACATGCAAGATGATGTATCGGTCCCCTGACTAGTAATGTCACAGGCATCTTTGTTTATATAAGTACACTCTGATGTTCTCGCAATGATGAAACCACCTAAAAATGCATTTCTTAGCACTGTACATATTCCTGTTGTTAAGTGATATACAACTGTTCTTGGAAAACATGGCTTTTAAAATTTATTGAAATAACTTCATCTAAAATCAGGCTTCAAACAATGCTCCTTACAACTTTCATAATAGGTCATACTTGTTCTGTTTACTTCATCATATCTCTTTTTACATCCCTTCACATGTACAGCAGATTTTGTTTTACGAAGTACATCAGGGATTTAAAGGTGTGGATTGGGGGACATAGTATGGTGGCTATGTCTATTTTAATCTCACAGGCAGGGCCTGACCTTTAAGTTAGAGCAAAGACATCCAGACACTCACAGATCTACACAAGAGAGGCATTTTGGAATTTTAGGCACAAACAGAGAGGGAGACATTGGTGACAAAATGTGACTAAAGTTGGACACCGTGTCATTCGCTTCTCCTCCAAAAGGCACCAGAAAGAAATCTTAAGTTCCAAAGGTTGGAGGTTTGGGAGGTCTGTAGTGAGTGCCAGTGACAGATGCTGCAGAGATTGCACCTTGTCTTGGTGGCTTTATTGGAGATGGACAGGATAAGCTGGAGGCAGAGTGATTATTGCTGTGACAATCAGATTGGGGAGGGGATGCCATAAAAAACAAAGAAAGAATTATTTTCCATTAGCTTGTTGGGAAGTACAATGATCGATATCTTGTCTTTGAAAGTAACTGGGCCTTAAGGATGTTTTCTTTACTTTTGAGATCGCTACCAGGGTTTTTATAATCCTTGTATAGTGTATCTCTAAGGCTACCTCACTCAGAGAATAGACCATTTATTTTTGGTAGGATTCTTTAAAGCTGGGGAGTCGGGTTCTGGGTAGCTCCTCTTTGGACCTCTTCTCTGTGTATGTGACAGGTGAAGAAGCAGTAGGTGTAGCGTAGGTGCCTTCACACAGCCTATGTCCTTCTCTCTTGATGAGCACTTGGGATATCCTGGAACTCCTTCCAAATGACCCCAGGGCTCCTCAGTCCTCTTCTTTTGGGGTGTCCTCCTGAGTAAAACCATGCTACTGTTGTGTGGTCCCCTGGGCCCAAGGGCTGGAGGTGTGGAGGAAGGGTGGCCACATGCAGTAGGGAGCACATATGAGAATGTTTGAGGCCCTCTATATTGCAAGATAAAGCTATGAATGGGAAGATAAGAGTGTGGGCCCTGAAGCTAGGGTCTTCAGACTTGTTCTTACTCCAGGCTCTGCAAATAGTAGAAGCAGGTTTCCGCTTAGGACAATGTTAATGTCTTTATTAGCGAATCGGTGCAAGAGATATAAATGAGGATTTTCAGAGAATGTGTCTGATTTGGTGGTTATCAGTGAATTGACAAAACTGGATTTGGAGAGATTTACAAGTGGCCTTCCAACTCCTAGGATAAAACTATTTGTGAAAGAAGATAAGTTTGCAACTTTTCTAGAAATTTCTCAATTATCTTAATTTTCTCCATAATCTTTCAGGTTATGTCAGGAAGGAGATATATACAAGCGATTTTCATGTTTATATTTATCACTGTGTACTTCTAAGAAAGACCAGCAGCTCTTAACCAACACTGCATAATGGGAGATGTGTCAAAGTTTCTAGGTGTGAGTTCTCCTAAAGCTCCCAGTATTGTTTCTTAAGTGTACAGTGATAATATGATCTCTTGGATAGCTAGTGAAATGTATACTTCTGTATTATTGTTTTGAAAATTCTTCTTTAATATTTGATATCAATGAATATCAATAAATAAACCCCACAAAAAAGTCATTAGAGTATGCAATGATTTTTAAGAATATGAAAGGCTGTTAAGACCAAAATGTTTGAGAACCATTGGGCTGAATAATAATTGCATAATAATATGGACAAGCCAACTGCTGCTTAGATGTGCGAGCACTTTTCTAAGAGTTGCAAGACAAGAATTCAAAACTTTGTGATTTTTAGGCCTATCTAGCAAGGACAAGTTACTCATCTATTACCACCCATCACTAAAGACACGATTAAAAACAAGCCGGGACAACTCAAGGTAAGCCACTAAAAGTATCACTTCCAATTACTGATTCTCTCTGCTCTGGAGCATGGTTGATAGAAATCAGATCTGCAGAAGACTCTTACCCATGTAAGATTTGCTGGCCAGTGCTTCTGATCCCATGGGAAGAGAGAGGACTGTAAGGCAGAGATTCAGGAACTAAAGATGGGGCTGCTGAGATCTCATACCTGAAAGTAGTTCTGTGTATTTTTATAGCTTTTAACCAGGTACCTTTGATCTTGAAAGTATGTGAAAGACTTCTCACTTGTAGGGAAAAAAAATAACATTAGTAAAGATGGACCCTCTCACTCGGAAGGGAAGCTTGGTGAATGAAGAGAGTATTAGTCAGCTTTCTCGTGGCTGGGACACAATACCCAACAATCACAACTTAAAGGAGGAGACATTTAATTTTTCTTATGTTTTAAAGTGATTCAGTCCATAGTCAGCTGGTTCCAAGGCAGACACATCATGGTGGAAGAGCAATGCAGTGCAAAGCTGCTTAGTTCATGGCTGCTGGGAAGCAAAGCAGGGAAAGAGTGACGGAGAGGAAGGAGTTAGGGACCGGATGTAGACCGCAGTGCCGCATGTTGATGACCCACCTGGATATACACAAAAGTGTGCTGCTCTGATCCTTTGGGCAGACCCCAAAGCCAACCAAGTTGACAGGATCAAGCTTAGCGACCAGAAAGCACATATGCTACATGGAAATGACAGTGAGAAGGAATAGGCAAGTTGGGAATCTGTTTTTCAGCTCATGCTATTTCCAGGGTACCAGAGATAAATTCTATACAAAATATAAAAAATAAAAATAATTGGCTTCGTAGTGAGACTGTTTCTCAGATCCCAATTCTGAAGTCGTTACATCAGGTATAACCACTGAAAGCTGTGGTCTCTTCAGCCACTACAAAGTAATTATTAGGAGACAGTAATCTATATAAGCACATATAAATATGTTTTCAAAGGGAAAAGGTGAAGTGTGATAAAATATATAGTGAATGTTTAAATTAAAAAATTATTATAGTAAAAGACACATTGTCATTAATTCTTCTCTAAATATTCCCCCTTGATTTGAACATGTTTATTTCATTTTTCTTGATACCTTTTAAGCAGATCTGGAAGTCCCCTTTTGTGAAAGTCTATCTGAGGCAGGATTAAAAATATGGTAAATGTTGCTGCCTATTGTCAGTCATTCAAGAGAAAGGCAGGCTCATAAAAACAGCAGTCCTGGTGGCCTCATAATCCACCTTATTCATAGGATGTAGCACTATGAGACTTCTGACTCCTCCCCCAAATCAAAATCACCATGAAAGATTTTGAATCCATTCAGGTTGTCAAGGCATCTATGACAGCATAATGAAAGACCTGAGAGAGGATTCCCAGAGCTGCTTTAGAAAGTGGCAGGAATGATGGGATAAGTGTGTTTGAAATGGAGAGAACATTTTGGAAGGGATTAAGGGCAATGTGTCTTTTACTGTAACACATTTTTAAAAATGTGAATACTGGGCCGGGGATTTAGCTCAGTGGTTCCACCTCCCGCCTCTCAAGCACAAGGTCTTGAGTTCCATCCCTGGTATCACAAAAAAAAAGTAAATATTCTCTGTATCTTTCCATAAGGAACAATTTTATTTGTCTTAGTTACTTTTCTCATTGCTGAGATAAGCTACTCAAAACCCGAAGTGAAAGGAGGAAAGGTTTATTTAGCTCACAGTTCATAGGGGTTTCAGTCCATAGTTGGCTGGCTCCAAGGCAGTGTGGCATCGCAGAGCAGGCAGGCAGAAGGCAGCAGGCAGCAAGTGACAAGCAACACCAACTGCAGCTCTCTTTCTGTTATATTTTACTCAGGTTATCTGCCCTTGGGTGAGTAGCACTCACACCTTTAATCCTAGCAGTGCACCTACCTCTAATCCCAGCATCACATCCTTGATCCCAGTATCACACACTTTAGATCCAGCCACCTCCAAAAAGCCCCACCTATGATCACATGAGGCTTTGGGGGGACATCGGGATACAAGGCGTAGCACTCAGAGTACACTGTCTTCTATCATGATCTGTGTAGCAGTAATACTATTTTTTACTTTTTTTTTTTTTTTTTTTGATACTGGGGATCGAACTCAGGTCCTTGTGCTTACACAGGAGGCGGTGAAACCACTGAGCTAAATCCCCAGCCCTGTAATACTATTTTTTAATCTGAGATATTTTCCATTCCTCTTAATTCTTGTCATTTAGGTCTCTAATGTATCAAGGGAAGAACTCATTCAATAATAACAATTAAAACAGTGATAATAATTGGTATTTACATAGTGCTAATTACTACATACTGGATGCCATTCTAAGAACTTTACATATGCAGGGATATCTCATTCAGTTCTCCCTGAAGAGAACTCTATATGCAGAAAACTTTCTCTGTTCTCTCTTTCCCTGTCTCTCTCTCTTATTTTTAAGAGAAGTAATGTTCTTGGAGAATCTTCTAATTTCATTGTGCACTTCTGATTTTAGGCATTAGAAGTAAAATACTATCAAATAGGATATTGTTTTTCTTCTTTTATATATAACAGTCTCCCTGAGTGGCCTCTGGTTCCTGACCAGTGCGAGACAGACAAGGTGAACATGCAGGCAGCTTTGGAGGCAAACATACAAGCCCAGAAAAAAATCTCAAAGGAGATTAGAGTGAGGAGGATCAGATAAGTGAAAGTTCCCTGGTCTATAATCTATAAAATTCATACAAATATAAATTTGACTGATGTCAGATTTCATAACTACATGCAGTAAGACAAATCCTACCACATTTTCCTACACACAGAAAATGATAATTACATAATTGGATTATTGGTTACTCAAAGAATTAGTATCAGTTAGCTAGAGTAATATTGGAGAGTAAAGAGAAAAACAATCATGTACAAATGAAGTTATAAATATAAAATCTGTTTGCTACATCAACCAATAAATGCTTCAAAAGATCATATGAGGGCATGAGAAGAAATATGAACATCTTAATAGTTGTATATTGTCTCATTCATTAAAATGCAGCTGTGATTGGATCAGCTCAGAGACAAGGAACTGACCTTGTTTGAATTACCCATGGCTTAGCTTTGTATTGGCTACAAATGATCCAGTCATAAAGTATCATGTTTAATTTAATACATTTCATGTTTATACAAAGGAATATTATATTACTTTTGAGTATGTGAATGATCACAGCATGAAGAACTATTGCATGATATCCTCTTTGAATTATAGTTTAATGTAACCTTTCCATTTTATGGATAGGACTTTAAATCACTCAATGCACACTAGTCAGGGGTATGTATAATTCAGAATTAGTAAATATATTCATATATTTATCTCACATGGTTCTGGAAAATATTCTGTTACAGAATTCTAAAATTAGCCTACACATCAAATATTGTTTTAATTTGTTAATACAGATTGATTGTCACAAATGACGAAACATTCCCACACTCTCATTCTATGCAAGGAGTAATCCTGCATCTAATGATTGATACCTTTCCTTCATATTTTCTTCCTTAAGTACACTGGGAGAGTTAGGTAATGAAATGGAGGACCTAGAAGATGTTTTCTGCCTGGAGAAGGAAAAACACCTCACATCCCCAGATGATATGGCTAGATAGTATTTTGTGACTAGGGTGCCTTGTAGTGGGGAGATGGGATTTTACTCCAAGAGTGTTGTCTTACAGCGAGGGTGTAGGGAATACTCACGTAATCAAAATGGCGCCCAAAGGATGCAACGCTAAGTGTAACTGTAATCACTCTTAGACACACGCACTCCCGCTTGACTAATTTGTTCATTCTAATGCTATTATGCTTCATTACTTACAGTTTAAACCTGTGTTCTCAAACTGTGGGTTGAGATGCCATGAATCACTGAAATGAACTCACAGGTCATTGAACAGTATTTGCAATATTCATGGGAACACTGAAACTGTCAGAAGTTGCAAGGATTAAGAGCTCAAGGTGATTTTTAGTTTGAATATTAGATAGTGCTATAATAATGATACCATACACTTTGCAAATTCTGGGGATTTTCTGGTTGCTTTGAGGAAAAAACAACTATCATAGAAAAATAAGTATGAAACAGAGGATGAGGGTGGTGGTGTGCAATCTGATGCCAGAATTTTGAGACTTGCATGCATCCAAGACACACATATTATTAGTAATTACCATTATTTGAGAATAAATATTTTTCAATTCATAAATTATTTTTTCAAAAGCAAGTAGGTTCTTGGGATATGAATTTGTTAGGGGTCAGAGGAATAGAATTGATATAATATATGTAATTATACAGACTATTCTCAAAAAATGGCAAAAGGTAAGCCTTGTGTTAATACAAATGTGACGTAAGTAAAATTTTCTTTCTGGATGCACCTTGAGACCATAATGTTAAGTGAAATAAATCAGACATACAAGGTTAATTATCACTTAACTATGATTCTTCTTTTAAGAGAAATCCAAAGAACAAAGAAAGAGTAAAATAAAAGATAGATAATAGAAAGTAGGGAGCTAGATCTTTCTCATATGCAAAGGGGATCTAGAGATGGAGGGAGAGGAGGGGTAAGGAATGAAAAAGGGAATTAAGGGAGTACTACTCAGCCATGAAGAATGAGAAACTAGAGACATTTATAGCTAGATAGATGCACATTGAGCCCATACTCTTAAGTGAAATAAATAGGACACACGTGTAAATACTGGATAGTTTCTCTAGTATGAGAAACTGAAAGTGTAAACAAGGACTAAAAGGTAAATAGATAATGTAAAATAGGAAGAAAAGGGGCAAAGGGGAAGTGGGAGGGGTAGGGGAAAGGAAAGAAGGAAATAGAATTAATATGAGAAAATGAAAAAAGGAAACAAAGTCTTTGTAAATAGGGAAGGATGGAGGGGTTGAAGGGAGGGCAGGGGAGTGGGAAAAAATAAGAACGAAGAGAAATTATGTAAAGGTGCCAATTTCCAGTGATGAATGTCATTATATTGTATACCTAAAATATACCAATAAAATCAATTAAAAAAAAGAAAAAAGGAATTAAGATGTGTTATGTACACGTACCAACTCCACACAAGGAATAGAAACACGTACTGCAAACATGAACTAATAAAAAAAAGACTTTCTTATTTTCTTTCCCTCTCCAAGTTGGTTCCTGGCATTTGGGGAGGTTTAGTGTCTCCATTCTTAGGCCCTGCAGGGCTGATCTCTACTGAATCTGGTTGAGGGGCTGAGCTTTTTGATGTAGGTTTAAGACAGCCGATGGCAGTGGCTGTGGGAGAACAGTGGTGTGGAAGATGATGTGTTCCTGTTGGCGTTGAGGCTCGGGATCTCCCGAGAGGAGAGACTGAAGAAGGAGTGGCTCTAAACTAATGGCTCAGAGTTTTCCAGCTACGTGGATGCTGCTAAACGCCTTTGCAGGGGAACCTGAATGGCACCAAACCTTGATAACATGTCCTCTCACCTACCCCACTGATCTGACTCCATCCATTTCAGACAGGTAGCAGATGCTTCTGCCCAGTATTAGCAGATTATTGTGGCCCAAGATTCTTGCCCCTTCCTAATTTGGCTGTGTAACATTGGAAATAGTCCAATCACTAAGTTCACTTCCAGCCAAGGTCAGCTTGGCTCCAATTAAATCCTCCCTTCTGAATTAACCATTTGTTCTCTTCAGTAAAAATATGCTTGTGTCCTTGTTCTACAGTCCTGCCTGCTTGATACTTGTTATCAGCTAATGTCCCAAGGCCTGCCCAGCTGCCTCCCTTCCCACAATTGTAATAAAGAAACACTGGATGTCCTGGGAGTCCTTTGTCTTTGTTGCCCGGCACAGCTTAGATCAGCCCAAGACTCAGTTTCTCTCAACTCTGTCTCTGTGTCTTCATTTCCCACTTTCCTATCTTTTGGGCATTGTACTGGCTCGAAGGTGACCAGGGCCCACTGCAGGAGTCTCTGTTTATGTCCCCTTTCCCATTCCCTATACACAGACCTCATTCTGCCTAAAACTGAACATTGAAAAAGTGTCAAAGAAAACATTATCGAGGCATGGTGCTGCACACCTGTAAATCCCAGCACTCTGGGTGGCGGAGGCAGGAGCATTACATATCTGAGCACAGCCTGGGCAACTTAGTGGCTTAACTAGACCCTATCTCAAAGCAACAACAACAACAAGAACAACAGCAACAACCCCAAACAAACAACAAATGTCTGGGGATGTAGCTGAGGGTGACTGGCTTGAGTCCAATCCCAAGATTGACAAAAAAAAAG